ATATTTCAAAGAAGGTTGTGAACTCAATAAGAAATGGGTAAATCACTCCAACTTTCCCTTCAGTTTGGCCAAAAATTTTAAGAGGAGGCTCCTACAACCACCTCCTAGTAACAAATCTCGTAGGGAAATGCTTGCTGCCAGAACCCAGGTCTAAACCTCCCACGTTCAGAGGCAAAAGCATAAACAAAATGAGGGCCCCATTTGGAATTTGCTCTTCTTGGAAGTCAGTCAAACCCAAAGTCAAGTGACCTGCAGGCCATGATGCAAAATATTTCATATAGGATCTAAAGACATTTTTGTGTTCTAATTTCTGTGTTAAAAGCCCTGATCAGCCACATTATTTATTTGTATAGTAATTGTCAATCTATCTATTTTAAGTATCAAGGAACAAAAAAGTGAATAAGAGACACTTTATATACAGGGATGCTCTGTTACTTGGAGCAGATACGCTTTGTGGAACCACATACCAATAGTATAGTGTATGGTATTTTGTCATTTGACCTAGCTAAAATTTTGATGTGAAGTAAAACAAAATAAGCAGAAACTAAAGCTAAATTACCAGAGTGACACACATGAAAATATGTACTTTACACTAATGCTTAACACAGGAATGGTGTGATCTATCTATCTTATAGCTAGATCGACATTCACACTGTACTAAGGACACAATGTTAGCAAACACCTAATCAGAGCAGCAGAGGAAGTAAAGCATGGTCTAGAAACCAGTTTGAAGAATTAATTCCAAAGAACAGATAGCATAAGGAAATGAGTGGGGTTGGATCCTCTAACATTCATGGCTCCGTGTGAGCTAGAGAGTTGTAATGGCAAATCTCTAGCTACCCCGCAGTTGCTTCAGAATTTTAGTTTTTATGGAAATATATTTTTAATCCCATATGGTTTACCTTCCAAATATGAACTAATGTTGTGTTGTCTTCCCAGTTTTGTGCACTGCCTGAATCAATAAACCAAGGCTAAGTCTACACCACATCTCTTGTGGAGGGTGCATTGTTTTAAGCCACAGTAAGGCAGGATGGTCCATGCTGCAGCATATGTCAGTGAAATGCTTGTCAAGGGGAAGGCAGTGAGGAAAGGCTTGTCAGCAGAGAGTCTGACATCAAAGAACAAGTCTGTCGATCCAGGGTTAGCGCTTATAGGTCTAATCCAAAGCCCTTTTAAGTCACTGGGAAGACTCCTCTACATACTCCCTATGATTTGCAATGGAATTTGGATCAGTCTCTAAGTCTCCTAAGATCTTATCTAATTCCAGATCTAAATTTCTGAGACAATATAAATTAAATATGCCCATGGTTGAGTTTTCAAATCTTTAAAATGGGGATACAAATATCAGTATTTCTATAATTTTTTCAAGTAACTAAGTTGGTTGATTTTCTGTCAGTTTTTGTAAAGAACTGTGTGCTCTATTTTCATTTCAAGCTATTGATACATATTGGCAACCTGAAATGCAGTTTGGTGAGTGTCTGATAACATATATCGAGGTTGAAATCTGTGCATAGTACTAAACATCGATTTCATTTTGAACCATACAGCTTGCTACAGCACGTTAGGAGTCTCCAGTCATCTAATGTTCACACCCAAAGATATGAACCTTTCTAGTCTGGCAACATCTGTGGTCCAGCATAATTGTGGCCAAGGCATGGGTGTGGTCAAGTTTCCTGTGGTGCCAAAAGTTTGTTTACAGCCACCAGTCTTCTCTAATGTGCTCTCAGTGTTCTCTAATTTATGCTTGTATGTCTTGTAAGATCCCAGTAAGCAGTGGAAGCGTTGGTAATGCTGCTAGACAATAATGACCTCCTATGGTTCGCAAAATTCTCTGGTTTGGCACCAGTCAGATCCCGAGGGTGCCATACTAGAAAGGTTCAACTTGTGCCAATCATAAATAAACAGAGATATATGTAGGCCCTTACACATTTTTGGATTGATTTGGCCATAGCTTCACTACAGAGTAAAACAGAGATAAAAATCATTTCAACAAAAGGTTTACTTACTTTGTATGTTACTTTCTGACCAGAAACTCCTGTGAACTCAGTGTTAACCTTCAGATAAGTCCACTAGGCTCCTCAGTTTAGCAGAGCTGTTCTCTTGCAGAAATACAAGAAAATAGCTCTCTATAGTACAGTGTCTAGAACATTGGGGCTCCAGTCTGGGTATGGTGTCTAAGCACAAATTAAGTAACAATAACCCATAAGACACTTCAAAGGTAGTAAAAAGGCTCTGTCACTATAACATTGCCCTTCCTCTCTATTCCCCACCCCAAGTCACAACAACTAAGAATCAAAATGTGGAATAATGATTGGATTTCTCTGATCAAGGCCTTCCCGTGAAGATCATGAAGTATTCAAAGGCCATTTTGCAAAAAGGGAGGCTCTGATGTTTGAGATACAACCCCCGCCCCTTCCAAGCACACTTAACATTATAAATGATAACTGTAAGAATGCAGGAATACACTTTGTTAACTGCCAAGAAAAACTAAATGATCCTGGCACTCTAAGGACATGTAAAGAGACACTTCAGGATATACAGTTTTAAAAACTAGCTATAATGTATATGCTCTACATTTTTTGTTATGTTTTTAAATACATAAGGTTTTTTTAATTATTTGACCATGCATATCAGTCACTTCTCAAAATTGGAAACTTTCACTTGCCCAGAAAAGATCCAGTGTCTGAAGACATTTTTTATAACAGGATAACAAAAAAAAGAAAAAAAAGAAAAAATAGTTTCCTGCTATCTTCTGAAAACAGGAAAGTTGCACATCAAATATTTGTTTGGACTATCACTAAGCCTAGTGAGACAACGCTATCTTCTTGAATAGTTTATTGAATAAGCTAGTTTCTTGAGAAACTAAGACTAGTTTCTTGTCTAGAATATGTAAAACAGTATTCTGGATATTTCTTTCAAGAGGGCTACTTTTTGTTCAAAAATATGACTCTCCCTGAAGAAAAACACATGTTCAAAATCTAATGAACATAGTTCCTATGTATAGCCACTAGCTGTTTACATAGGACAAAATTACTTTGAGTCTGTTGCTACTGAAGGTGCCTTGAACTCTTCTATTCTGGTATAAAATCCCCACTCCCTAGGCCCCTCCCCCCACATCTACCTACTCACACACACACACACACACACACACACCACTGTTTCATATAATAAGGAACAAAAACTCAAAATGCCCTGGGCACAAACTTAATTTAATTCCACTTTCCAGATTCTGGTATATAAGACCTGAATAGGATGGGACTAAATCTTTGACTCTGTGCAATTTAAATTAAGTTGGGCACACTGAATGTTCCTTTCAGTACAGGAATGCTCAAGACTGTTTACTTTAGTTATCCACATTTTCTATCTAATCAAGAAAGATGAATATCATTTTTTAGATGGCAAGTTTTTATTGCTACCCAGAGTTTGCCATAAGCACTATTGATCTGCATTTCTGCTTGCTTAATACACTTATGGAATTTACCAAACGTCTTCAGAGTGAAAAGAGCTCTCAACTTCTTCCATCTAAGACAGGGTAAATATTTTGATGATTTTAACATACACTTTAGTGAACTATTTTAATACAGTTTTCTTATGTTGGAGTTTTTATCCTTCCCATCTCTTCAGATATAAAAAAATCTTTAAATAGTTCTTTTGCATTTACTTTATATAATGCAGAACTCCACAGAGGAAGTAAAAGAAAGCAAGTAAAAAAATCCCAACTATTTTAGAGCACAAAACTCCATAAACCCTTAACTTCATTGTGGGTTTCACAGATGGTAGCAGTACAAAACTGAACTCTTAAACATATACTATGTGACACTCCTATTATTCAATTCATACAGCACAAACTGAGCAAATAAAACAATTTGCATTATAAACAAATCTGGATTAGTTTTTTCCTTGCCAAAAAATTTTTAAAACACTACATCACTGATGTCAAAAGATTAGGATACTTTTAGCTTTTTCAAATCATATTTAGATGTTTTTGTAAAGGCACTAGTTCTCAAATACTGTAAAATGTTTAGTTTCCAAACAACTTTGTATTATCTCAATCAAGAAGATAAATATTCTCTTTCCAATCTATAACACCAGGGACACAAAGGTCCACTCAAATCACAAGTTGTTACATCTCAAAAGTAAGTATCCAATTAGAGGGGAATTAGAAGAATCTTTTTTAAAAATGTGAATTTACATTAAAAAAGTTTAGTCATCCTCAAATTTAATCTTTTTTCCCTGGAATGCTGTAATCTGAGACATTTGCTCTCGACGTTTCTTGCTTGCTTCCCAGGAAGGATGAAGTGGTTGCTCCAAATGCTCTTTTTTATTTTCATACTTTATACCTGCAGCTTTAGCAAGTTGTTTTCTCTTTACCTGCAGTTCATATTTTGGAAAACCTGTGAACAAAATACAACATAAAATATCAGATGTACTTATGTCATGAATATACTAGGTAATACATACTCTAAATATCTTAAGATAAGGATAGGCATTTCCTGGAAGCCAATATAGAGTGAGACATAGCATATAATTTCCAATAGCCATGCCTAATGAGACATGCATAATACACTATACACACACACACAGAAATATTGCTAAGGAGGAAGGAAGATTGTCCCTTATGCTGGGGCACCTGCCCACACTGGATTCTCAAGAGTTAATAGAGCCCTACGAAGGCTGGGCAGGAGGCAGCCAATCACAGAAGGGCTTGTAGGAGCACTCAATCAGGGCCACCCAGGCCCATAGGAGAAGAGCTTCAGTGCAGACAGCTTCAGTCATCCCCTGGAGTTTGCAGAAGGAGAACTGACAAACTTGCTGCAGGCAGAGACCTGTGGAACTAAAGGGAGCTCCTGATGGGCTGCAGGGATGTGCAGGCTGAGGCTGTGTGTCAAGGACAAAGAGGGTTCTAGGGCCACAGGGAAGTAGCCTAGGAAAAGATACTGAGAGATTGGAGGGAATGCAGCATGTAGCTGCCATCTATGAGGTCTCTGGGTTGGGACCCAGAATACTGACTAGGCCTGGTTATCCTTCCATCCCCTTGCCACTGATGAAGTAGCCAGACAATTGGCTGCAGAACCACTGGGGAAGTGGCTGGACAATGGAATGTGATACTGTCCCCCAGAAAGGGGGGCACAGACTGCAGCACAGCCAGAGGGCTGTGTCACAAAGAGGACACCATGGTGCTGGAAGTGACATAGGTCCCTGGAACAGAACACCAATGGAACACCACTGGCTAGCAGAGCTCATCCCCAGGACATCTAGCAGGGGGTGTTAAAGTGGTGAGTCATACCCCATTACATCTCTCTTCTCACAAATCAGCAAACTGCCAGTTCATAAACAGCAGATATGGCCAAGATTATATAGTTATGAGGGCAAAAGCACTGGGGTTGCAGTGCAGAAGCTGTAATTTAATTACCATGTGTAAGAGTCATTGTTTAGTATACAACACAGAGATAAGTCACCACACACCCGATTTTTAGAGTAGCACCTTTCAATACGAGATCTGCACATACTTTATTTGATGTGGCAAAACATTTTTATCCTTAAGTGCAAAATGTGAGTAAAATATTTAGGTGGCTAAAATAATTTGCTGGGATGAACCACTTGATGAGATAAAAGGTTGTGTTCTGCCACCTTTACTCACACTCAGATTGTACCTTTTCCATGGAGTTAAACTACCTAACATGGGAAAAGGTGGCACAGTACAGTGCTTGCTTTTGATACCCATTTCAAACCATGAAAATATATAGCAAATATAAAGTTTCTACAAATTAAAAGGTTTGAATAGTCAAGGTTTTCACATACAACAATACAGGCAGTCCCCAGGTTACGTACAAGATAGGGACCGTAGGTTTGTTGTTAAGTTGAATTTGTATGCAAGTCGGAACTGACGTCCAGATTCAGCTGCTGTTGAAACTGACCATCAGCGGCTGAATCGGACACGCCTGGGGCAGAGCAGCTGGAGTGCTTCTGGGTTGGTCTGGTAGCGCTGACCCTCGGGGCTGCAGGACCAACCCGGCAGCACCCCAGCTGCTCTGTCCCCGGCTTCCCTGGCTCTGCTGCTGGTCAGTTTCAATTGTCTGGCTCCAATTGTCTGGCTGGCCCCCCACTT